CGTGATTCTCCAGGAAGCTCATCTTCTTGTTCCTGCCAAGGAATTTATTGAGCAAAAGAATTGGACAGTTTGTTTCAATGATTGGGAGAATCTTGCAGTGATGGCTAGATTGGCACCAGGTGGATATGTCAAGATCATTGCTGGACATGATCAAGAACTTGGTCACTGTGAACAGCGTGATGTAACTTGGGCTATCTACGAGATTTGTTTTGGAGAAACAAGGCCTCGTCAAGATTTCAAGGATGCAGACTTTGAATTTGATGACTATGGTCCTGAGGACAAGCGTGTTCCACTTACTCGAGCGAACATGCATACCATCAGAGTCTGTAATTATCATGTTGATACACACCGTGCTGTGGATGCCCACCTACTGACAGGAGAACAGACAGCATTGATGCTTTACGAGTGTTTTGTCTATGAGGTGGACATCATTTCTGGTGATGCAAATAGTTTGGCCTACAGAATGTCTGGGTACAAAAGGCAGCCAATGGCTAACTACTATTACAGCACCATGCAGCATTGGATCCGCAGGTTTTCAGAAGCCCGTGTAAAAGCAGATCCTGGTGTCAAAGCACCTATTCCCAGAACTTTTTACAGTTCAACTTCACAGGTCCTCAAGAAGTGTGAAGATTACTTTGACAAACTCTGGGAAGAATATTCTACTGTTGAAAAAGAAGAATACCAAGGATCACAGCTTGGCGATACATGTTTGTCTACCATTGTTGAATGGGGTCATTCAATGAGTGAAGAGGAATATGAAAATTCCACAGTGAGCACGAAGGAGTTCATCTGTAATTTTTCAGAGAACTTTGCTATGATTGACACAGAGGTTATGTGCTCAAGGCCCACTGACGAGGACAGTCATGGTCCAATGTTTATTTCACTCAGACCAGCTTCCTTTTCATCTGGAGACAGAAGACAGTACCGCATGGGACCAACTCTTCATGAGGCTAACTTGCGGAGGAAGGAGAGACAAAAGCAGACTAAAAGGAAAGGAAGGCCGCCAACTTCTGATCAAGCAACTTCATCGTTTGCAGCGGCATAATTCCTGAGCGAAGGCTGAAATTTAAATGATGGCTAGGAAGTGAAGATACTTCTGGTTACAGTTGATACTTTGCTTCCAGGCTTGACTTTAAGTTGCCAGGCTGAAGTTTTAATAAATTCTGGTTTGCAATGAGGAGAAACTTTTTATCAAAGAAGATACTCCTGCATTCCAGGTTTATACGCTTTAGCATGCAGATAGGTATGGACAGTTTTGTACAACTGATGATATCTATTACAGCCGCTTTTTTTTCTGAGATGACCTCTAATGGACAACCAGTCATGGTTGATGATTAAGTCATTTCATGATTTGCAATTGTAGTGCAAGATTTTTTTTGTACATACATTTGCCGGTATCTCCTTCTTGTGTTTTTGATGTGAATGTGAAAGAGAGTCCTTTTGATGCAGTTTATTTTGTCTGTGAATGAAAGCGGTCGAGACCACGTCACGAGAAGATTATTCCTCGGACCGTACGCTCCTTGCATTTTGCAAGGCATCTTAATTCATTGCATTGTGCGGTCTTGAATTTTTAGTTCTTTGTTACGCGAGTGTCGTTTGATTCTTTTATAGGTCTCTGTAGAGAAAAAGCCGCTTTCCCTTTTAGTTTGATTTAGCTCAGGCCATAAAGAGCTAGTGAGCGCCGGTACATGGTATCTCCGCCTGCGAAAAGTACAGTCTCCAGCCGAGGTACATTATCGATTTGATTTTGTACTTGAGGTGAGTCAGCTATTGCTCCCTCACTGTATTTAGTAGCTATGAGATTACCTTCTCTGAAGTGTGAAACACACTGGATTAGGTAAGTACATGGCACCGTAGTTTTCTTTTAAGTTGTCAGAGCTAGCTGGACTGTTTTAGCCTTGCAGTAGAAAAAGAGTATGCGACATACGCAATCAGCTAGAAGTGGACATGAATCTTGTGCCTGCTGAAAAGTAGAGCCTACCTGTACAGGGTTCCACTCCAACAGCTGATATAGTGTGTCCATGCTTGACTGCTTCAAGGCTCAAAGAGCAAGAGGATAAGACTCTGCGC